ACAGGTACAACCCACTGTGCCTGGCTGAAATTATATATATATATAATTATTATATGGAGTTTCGCTTTTGTTACCCAGGCTGGAGTGCAATTACATGATCTCGGCTCACGGCAACCTCCGCCTTCTGGGTTCAAGCAATCTGCTGCTTCAGCCTCCTGAGTAGCTGGGATTACAGGCACCCGCCACTGTGCCTGGCTAATTTTTGTATTTTTAGTAGAGACGGGGTTTTACCATGTTGGCCAGGCTGGTCTCGAGCACCTGACCTCAAGTGATCTGCCCGTCTCGGTCTCCCAAAATCCTGGAATTATAGCCCTGAGCCAATGCACCCGGCCTGAATTTGTATTTTGTATGCAGTCATACTACATATATATAATTTGCTTTGCTTTTTGTACTTGAGTTATTGGTGTCCATGTTTTTCCGTATTGTTATGAAATATAATCCTTTAAAGTACTTACTGCAATTACAATACTTCTAAGTCGAATTCCAAAATGACCATACGTAGAGGCGAATCTAGGTTTTGGGGAACTCTCATTAAGAAAAAAAAATGTAGCTGGGCACGCTGGCCCACGCCTGTAATCCCAGCACTTTGGGAGGCCGAGTGGGCGGATCATGAGGTAAAGAGATGGAGACTATCCTGGCCAACATGGTGAAATCTCGTCTCTACTAAAAATACAAAAATTTGCTGGGTGTGGTGGCAGGCACCTGTAGTCCCAGCTACTTGGAAGCCTGAGGCAGGAGAATCACTTGAACCCAGGAGGCAAAGGTTGTAGTGAGCCGAGATCGTGCCACTGCACTCCAGCCTGGCGATAGAGTGAGACTCCGTCTCAAAAAAAAAAAAGAAAAAGAAAAAGAAAAAAGAAAAATGCAAAAATTTCTAATGACTTCTGGATTCTGGTCAACAGAAATTGAAGAAAAAAAATTGACTTGTGAGATCTTTGGGGAAAAATAAGAAAAAAATACAAAAATAATTACTTTTAAAATTTTCACAAGGCCAGGTGCAGTGGCTCATGACTATAATCCCAGCTACTTGGGAGGCTGAGGCAGAAAATCACTGGAACCTCAGAGACAGAGGTTGCAACGAGCCAAGATTGCAACACTGGACTCCAGGCTGAGCGAGAGAACGCGACTGTGTCTCAAAACCAAAACAAAATAAAAAACCAAAAAACAAAACAAAACAAAAAAACCCCAAAATCATCCAGGCATGGTGGCATGTGCCTGTAGTCCCAGCTTGGGAGGCTGAGGTGAGAGGATCACCTGAGCTAGAAAGTTCAAGGCTGCAGCGAGCCGTGATGGCATCACTGTACTCCAGCTTGGACAACACAGTGAGACCCATCTCAAAAAAGAAAAAGAAAGTATATGAAAAGTAACAACTACTAACGAACATTTGGAAAACAGAGAAAATTTTTTTTTAAAAAAAGCCTCTATAATTTCATCAGACTCATGCTATATTCCCTTCTTGTGTTTTTTTCATCAATGCAGATTCCATTTTATAAAAACATGCTTGAAATAAGTAGAACCAGTTATTTTCTTTTCGCAACAGTTTAGTATTAGGGCATTATTACTATTATTATTATTATTTTGAGACGGAGTCTTGCTCTGGCTCCAGGCTGGAGTGCAGTGGCACAATCTCGGCTCATTGAAACCTCTGATGACTCCCTGGTTCAAGCGATTCTCCTGCCTCAGCCCCCCGAGTAGCTGGGATTACAGGCATGTGCCACCGTGCCCAGCTAATTTTTGTATTTTTAGTAGAGACGGGGTTTCACCATGTTGGCCAGGATGGTCTCGATCTCCTGACCTCGTGATCCGCCCACCTTGGCCTCCCAAGGTGCTGGGATTACAGGAGTGCGCCACCACATCCAGCCTAGGGCATTATTATAATGGAATATTTAACATTCATGGCAAATCCCAAACATATTTTGTATACAACAACTTCAGAAAAATCAAGAAGAAAAAAGGTCTATGTTTTACTGTTGTATTTCCATCCTTATTTTTAAAATTCATGTTCTTCAAGATTATGATTCTAATGTATACAAGAATGTAATATTCTGCATTTTTTCTTACATTATATCATAAACCTTTCTCCATACTACTGCACACTACTAAGGCAACATTCATAGTAACTAGAGTATCTGAGAATAAGATTTAGTTTCTTAAACTCAGTCAGTACAACTGTAAGTGAAAAGCTAAGGCAGGCAAAAGTGTGATAAATCAGAGATACAGAATGAGTGCTTTTGGTTTGCCTGCAAGTATAATGTAGAAAACCTAGACAGGGAAATCGGAACTCAGAAATTCAAGTCTTCCAACTAAATGTCTAAGTCAACAAAAAATTCCAACATAATCCTACATTTTATATATACTTTTTTTTCTTCTTTTCTTTTCCTTTTCTTTTTTTTTTTTTTTTGAGACAGGGTCTCGCTCTGTTGCCCAGGCTGGAGTACAGTGGCACAATCACAGCTCACTGCAGCTTCCACCTTGAGGGCTCAAGTGATCCTCCCATCTCAGCCTCCCAACTATAGGCACACACCACCATGCCAGGCTAATTTTTAAAAATTTTTGTAGAGAGAGAGTCTCTGTATGTTGCCCAGGCTGGTCTTGAACTGCTGGGGTCAACTGATCTGCCTTGGTCTCCCAAAGCGTTGGGATTACAGGTGTGAGCCACCATACCTGACCTGTTTTTTCTTTAATAATTGGAAATGTGGTAGAATATTAGTCAATGGCAAAGACTTATTTATTGTGATATGATATTATTATTAGGGTTTTCATTCTCAAAATTGGGTAAATGTACCCCCAAAGAGGTTTTTCTTTAAAATTTAGCAAGGCTGGCTGGGCCCAGTGGCTCATGTCTGTAATCCCAGCACTTTGGGAGGCTGAGATGGGCAGATCACCTGACGTCAGGAGTTTGAGACCAGCCTGGCCAACATGGAGAAACCCCATCTCTACTAAAAATACAAAATTAGCCTGGCACGGTGGCACGTGCCTGTAATCCCAGGTACTCGGGAGGCTGAGGCAGGAGAATCGCTTGAACTCGGGAGGCGGAGGTTGCGATGAGCCGAGATCACATCATTACACTCCAGCCTGGGCAACAAGGGCAAAACTCCATCTCAAAATGAAATAAAATAAAATACAATTTTAGCAAGGCAATACAAATCTTCACTATACAGAACATGCCAAAATTTGGTCATGGTTTTCAGGACTCAATGACATTTGTTATTGGAAACCAGCTGTTATGTTTTAAATAAGCTTTTGCATTGACATTCATTAATTTCATAGCATAAACTTTTTGCTTTTAAGCTTCTTGTTCCTTTAATGTTGTCCTGTTGTAGGAATTCAAGCCACATTTAAAAAATTCAAAAATTTAACATACATTGAGGAAACAGTCCATATGTCCACTGCTGAGTGAATAAACAAAATGTGGTATATACATATAATGGAATATTAGTCAGCCTTAAAAAAGAGGGAAATTCTGATATATGCTACTCTGAAGACATTACGCAAAAACGCTAGTCACAAAAAGACAAATACGGTACAATCCCACTTAAATGAGGTACCTAGAATAGTCAAATTAGTAGAGACAGAAAACAGAACAGTGGTTATCAAGGGATAGAAGGAGGAGGGAAAGGACAGTATTTTTATTGGGTATGAAGTTTCAGTTTGGAATGATGAAAAAGTTCTGGAGATGGATGATGGTCATGGTTCTACAACAATATGAATGTACCTAATGCTCCTGAACTGTACACTTAATATTAAGATGGTAAGTTTTATATTATGAATATTTTACAATTAAAAAAATCCCCCAATCTATAACATACATTGAGAAAAGTACATTTTACCTGTATATTGTTTAACAAATAATCACCACCAAATATATGTATAATCACCACCTAGCCCCCAAAATGAAATATTATCAGTAACCTGTGTCCCTCCCCATCACAACCCTCTTTTCCTGAGTAAGCACTATCATGGCTCTAACATTTGCTTTTGAAAATCATACTGTGATGTGGTAATGCAGGATAAGTTAAATCTACACTACAACACGCTACAGAATATTTCTTTAAATTTCATTTTTTCCATAAGTGCAAAAAAAATCCCACTTAATAACTTTTAAATGCTCTTTCTCCCCTTCCTTTGCTCTTGAAACTTCATATTCTAAAACCTATTTTGGTGCCATAGTTGACCTCACCTGCAGTTTAATTAAAAAAAAAAAAAACCCACAACCTTCAGTGTAGATTTTCATTCCTCCCGCTCCCCCTTGCCTCCAACTACAAAGAAACAATGATTTAAACCCTTTGTGCCCTTTTAGAAAATTACACAGATACCCCATTGTGGAACCCTATAATCCCTTCGTGGAAAGGAAGAGATTAGCATATGAATACAAAGCAAAATGAATCCAGAATACAAAATGATCTACTGGATCGTGAAGCTCTTGTATTCTTAAAAATGTATTTATTTCCTCTTTTTGTATTGCCCCTTTAGTGGTCTTAGGGTTAAGGGAATTGAGCTTCCCTTTCTGGTTACCCGGAAAAGGATTAACAACAAAAAACAACAAAAAAACAAAAAAACCACCAGATTCTAATAGGTGCAAAACCAACAGATGGCTCCCAGCGCCAGTGGAATCGCCAGTGGAATCTGCTACCCTCGACATGAGCTTGCTTGCCGGCGAGGAGTGTAGAAAGTGCTGTTCGCAGACTGCGTGGTGAAGGAGAGAAAGCGACAGAAGAGAGAGCCATAGTGCTGACGTTGAAGGCCCGGCCCTGTGAGGTTGCACAGGGTAAGTGGCGTTGGCCAGGCGGCAGCGGCGAAGGGGAAGGAAAGAGGATTTGAGCTGGGGGCGGGGCTTGCGGTACAGCGTGGCTCCTGATTGTTGGAGCGCGGCTGCCAATCTCGCAGAATCGCTCGGTTAACCAGTGCGCTGGCGAGACGCGCTCAGATATACTGAGTGAGCCCTGAGAAGCAGTCTCAGATCCTGACGGTGCAGCAGCCCGCAGCCTCAGCCAGGGAGTCCCAGCCGCTTTCAATGGAGGAGAAGCCCGGCCAGCCACAGCCTCAGCACCATCACAGCCACCACCATCCGCACCATCACCCTCAGCAGCAGCAGCAGCAGCCGCACCACCACCACCATTATTATTTCTACAACCACAGCCACAACCACCACCACCACCATCATCACCAGCAGCCTCACCAATACCTGCAGCATGGAGCCGAGGGCAGCCCCAAGGCCCAGCCAAAGCCGCTGAAACATGAGCAGAAACACACCCTCCAGCAGCACCAGGAAACGCCGAAGAAGAAAACAGGTCTGGGAGGGAGGACGGGTGGGGGAAGGGGGTTGGGGGTGGAGGACAGGGGAGATGGGGGTGGGGCTGGATCCGAGAAGCGCGGACGGGGTCGGGATGTGTGTGTGTGTGTGTGTGCCCTCCGGCTCTGGGGATGCCCCTTTCATTCTAGGGCTCGGGCTGAGCAATGGGGTTTGCAGCGCCCTCCTTCCCACCAGCATGGGAGAGGCCCAGCCAGGCCAGCGTGACCTTCCCGGCCCCCGCCCCGGCTGAAGGGAGACCCACTGGGTCGGCCTTGCAAGTCCAACCTCGTTATTCTTTTCCATTCACCTCTCTGCGTCCCTGGAGTTACCTCAATATGGGGGCCCTGAGATGGGGTAAACCTACCCCCCAAAAAATCCCTCGAGGTGTAACTCAGGAAGGCCTAGCGAATCCCGCCTCGGATGGTGTCGCGAGACCCTTTTGCAGGCGGCCAGGGGTGGGTAGGTAGGCTGAGTTGAGGAAGTGCCCCTCACCCGCCACCCCAAGCCCACCTGTGGCCTTGGGGCTCCCCATCTTGTTGGGGGGGCTGTTGGGACCCCTCATCTCACGGGTCGTTTCCACCACTAGACGCCTTTTTTGGGCGCCGGACCCCGCAGTCTTGTCCCGCGGCTCCTCCCAAGGCTGGTGCCCCGGGCCCGCTCCCCCCAGAGCCGGCGCGGCTGGAATGTTCTCTCCTCCTCGCGGGGCCGCTTCCTGTCCGCCATGTTGGAAGCCGATTCCTGTCACCGACTCCGGCCCACTGAGGAGCGGGGGGGAAGGGTGTCGAGGGCCACACGGCGCGTCGGAGCTGGGTGACCTGGGATCACCACCGGCCGCCGCCTCGCCCCCTGCACTGCGGGGGCGCCGTCGCCCCCCGCTCCGCGGCCGCCCCTCCCCCGTCACCGGCCGGGGTTGTGTAACCCGGTGGCGGCGCGAGGCCCCGGGCGGGTCCCTGGGGTGAGGGGCGGGGGCGGTTGGGGTGGGGGAGGGAAGCGGCCACGAGGGGAGCGGCCTGCGCAGGGCCCCGCGCGCCAGCGGCCGCGTTTCCCGCTCCCGGGTGCGGCGGGAGGCGCGGGCAGTCGGGGCGGGGAGCCGGCCTCGAAGCGGAGCTGAGGGGGAAGGAGGCCGCGGGCGGCGGCGGCGGCCGCGGCGCTCCTAGGGGCAGGAGGCCTGGGGGGGCGGCGGGGGGATTCATTTTGGGTAGAGGCGGTGCCTGAGGCCGGGTGGGGTACCCAGCGGGAACCCAGCTCCCCGGTCACGAGTTTCTCTGCCACAGGAACCTCGTCTCCTGCCAGGTTCGCTCACGACTCCGCCTCTGAGGCTTTCACTTGGGCCTTTTCCTTCTAGCAGCTCATTTTCTACAAAAAAAAAAAAAAAAAAAAAAAAATTAACAAAAACCTTGTTCCATTCCCCTCCCCAGCCGGCACTTACCTTCTGAGCTTGGGTAGTGTCTTTGAGGTGAGAGATTTTTTAAAATGTTAGGATGAGGAACAGGGCGAGCTTTTTGACCCCCTTTCTTGTCCTTAAGGGTGAACCCAAGTGGCTCATCCATGAGGTTAGATTACTACCATCTTGCCTCGGATGAGGCTTCTCTCCATGTTAAAAAGAAAGGTGTTTTTTCGTATTTTAAAGTCGATATTGATCCCCAAACTAATATTAACAAACGAGAAATTGAGGGTAAAAGTCATGTAAGAAAGTATTTCACGAGAAGTAAGTTTAAAAGTTTATAACCCTCGCATATTTTGAAAAATGAGGGCTCTATATAAATCGAAGAGAAAGGAAGCATAAAGCGTATGTTAAACCCAGCGTATCAAATTTGATAGAAGGAATTGTTGAGAGCTGGAGAAAAACTAAGTGCTTTTTAAATTGCAGATTGTAACTTGAAGACTGAAATTAGAGTGTCAGATTTTCCATTTTGGGAGTTCGTTAGGGACCCGATGGTATGCAACAGAAGTGAACACGTAACACACGAGTTAGGTGTTTAATCCTAAAGATTTAGAGCAGTTTAAAAACTGTTAGGGACTACATAACTAGATTTTTTTAGCGTTAGATCTTGTTCAAAAGATGAGAAAATACTACCGTATTATGGCTGCATAAGGCAATATTACTGTTGAGACTGAAAAATTGTATTTCATCGGTCAGGTAAATATACTCTTGCAAGACTTCTCTCTACATGTAGAAGCAGCCCCTAAACCATTCAAGGTGGTATTCCTCCAAATATTTCTTATCTCGGAAGACGTGGATAAAGAGGAGGAAACTGGAATTAGGAGTTTTGACAGAGTATAAACAATTTGGGGCGAGTGTATGGTTTGGTCACAGTACTGTTGCTTTGACATGCATTATGCTAATAACTAAGAAAACATTACAATATTTTTGAAATTTATCTGTAACATGTTGAGGTAGGCTTTTGTAACCCATTACTCACAAACCTAAAGAGGAACAGTTTTTTTTGTTTATCCAGAAGAGGGCGCAAGAGAAGGCCAAATGTGTTGAGTAATTTGTTTCTAATTGAAAAGCTAGATTTATCAGGACTCAAGTTTTGCTGAGTCTTTTGGAAGTAGGATTAGTATGTATAAGCAGCCCTAAATAATAAAAGCGCTAGGAGTCCTTTAATTTCTTAAATTTATTCTATAATGTTTACATTTTTCTTAAATATCTAAGATATAAAAAAATTTCTTTCTGGCATACTTTATACATACCAACAAGGTTGTCATGAGGAAAGTTTTATGTAGTTAAACGAGATTTTCTTTTTTTTGTTATTAAAACTTACAGGTGGGAGCACAGTGGCTTCTAAGCCGTTTTTTCATTGTTTGGTGAATTCTAATAGCTGAGTCACTACAAACTAGAATCTTAGGAAGAATTATTCTAGTTAGTTTTGGTTCAGCTCAGTTTGGAGATTGGATTTTTTGCTATTTCAAGTTGCTCATCTTTAATTGAAATCTGAAAAGTTGTGACTAACGGGCCCAAGGATACAAACCTTTGTTTAACCTGTTGGTATGTTAAATGATATAGGTAGTCTTGTATTCCCTCCAGAGTTAGGTAATGTATGTTACATTTTTGAATTTTTAAAATGTGGCTTGAATTCCTGCAACAGGACAACATTAAAGGAACAAGAAGCTTAAAAGCGAAAAGTTATGCTATGAAATTAATGAATGTCAATGCAAAAGCTTATTTAAAACGTAACAGCTGGTTTCCAACTGTTTCCAAGTTATATCTATTAAAAATGATGACAGCCTTTATTTAGGGGACTTTCTGCTTTTGTTTCCTTTCTTTTTTTTTTTTTTTTTTTGAGGCGGAGTCTCACTCTGTGGCCTAGGCCGGAGTGCTGTGGCATGATCTCAGCTCACTGCAACCTCTGCCTCCCGGATTCAAGCGACTCTCCTGCCTCAGCCCCCTGAGTAGCCGAGATTACAGGAGTATGCTACCATGCCCAGCTAATTTTTTTTTTTTTTTTTTGATTTTTAGTAGAGATGGGACTTCACCATATTGGCCAGACTGTTCTCAAATTCCTGACCTCAAGTGATTCACCTGCCTGGGATCCCAAAGTGCTGGGATTACTGATGTGAGCCACTGCTCCTGGCATTTTTCTGAGGAAAAAATAAACTTTTAGAAAACATTCTTCCTGTTTCATAGTTAAAATTGTGCCACCAAAAATTTGATTTGATTGGCTGTCATAGCTTTTCCAGCAGCCAAAAAATGTTAAAAAATGTAACCCTGTGGAATCTAAGAACTCTTTAAGAGTTCTAAGAAATCTTAAGAGGTTGGTGTGGTGGCTCTCACCTGTAATCCCAGCACTTTGGGAGGCCAAGGCGGGTGGATCACTTGAGGTCAAGAGTTTGAAACCAGCCAGGCCAACATGGCGAAACCGGGCATTGTGGTGCATGCCTGTAATCCCATCTACTTGGGAGGCTGAGTCAGGAGAATCTCTTGAACCTGGGAGGTGGAGGTTGTGGTGAGCCGGGATCACACCATTGCACTCCAGCCTGGGCCACAGAGTGAGACTCTGTCTCAAAAAAAAAAAAAAGGAAAAAAATAACTCTTATAAGATGTATTATCTCGTGGTACAAGTTTTGTGCCAGTCTGTTTTAGGAATGATTATGCCTTGAGTATATTTTCTTGGGTAACTTTAATACAGTAGAAGAAAATGCCTTTATTTGTTCAGTTTTAGTATTTGTACCTTTTTTTTTTTTTTTTTTTTTTTTTTGAGACGGAGTCTCGCTTTGTCGCCCAGGCTGGAGTGCAGTGGTGTGATCTCCGCTCACTGCAAGCTCTGCCTCCCAGGTTCACGCCATTCTCCTGCCTCAACCTCCCGAGTAGCTGGGACTACAGGCGCCTGCCACCACGCCCGGCTAATTTTTTTTGCATTTTTAGTAGAGACGGGGTTTTACCGTGTTAGCCAGGGTGGTCTCGATCTCCTGACCTCATGATCCTCCCGCCTCAGGCTCCCAAAGGAGGCTGAGCCACTGCACCCGGCCATTGTACCTTTTTTTCTAATGTAGAATGAGTAAGTCTTGTTGTGAATCTAATAGACGTATACATTAAGTTATTTTGGAACAATGATTCTCAGACTTATAAAAATAGTGTTCCTATTAGAGTCCTCATTTCTGCTGCCTTAAATATGTAGAGTATCCTATTGTGTTTTTTTGTTTTTTGTTTTTTGTTTTTGAAACAGAGTTTTGCTCTTGTTGCCCAGGCTGGAGTGCAATGGCCCAATCTGGGCTCACTGCAACCTCCGCCTCCTGGATTCAAGCTATTCTCCTGCCTCAGCCTCCCAAGTAGCTGGGATTACAGGCGTGCACCACCATGCCTGGCTAATTTTGTATTTTTAGTAGAGACAGGGTTTCACCATGTTGGTCAGGCTGGTCTCGAACTCCTGACCTCAAATGATTCACCCACCTTGGCCTCCCAAAGTGCTGGGTGCCACTGCACCTAGCCTGTATATCTGTTTCTAATGAGTTGACCTCAGGATGCTTTTGTGAACATTTCATAAAAAGGTAGATAACTAATAGCACCATTTTGTTATAGTGAAAAACTATTTGCATTAGCTATAATAGAATTGACTTTTTATGGTGGTTGAAGGTTTTTTTTTCTTGAGAGAGGGTCTCACTTTGTCACCCAGGCTAGAAGGCAGTGGTGCCATCTCAGTACATGCTCACTGCAGCCTTGACCTCCGAGGTTCAAGCTATCCTCCTCCCTTAGCAGCCCCAGCTGGGAGTATAGGCACATGCCCCACGCCCAGCTAATTTTTGTGTTTTTAGTAGAGACAGGGTTTCTCCATGTTGCCCAGGCTGGTCTTGAACTCCTGAACTCAAGCAGTCTGCCTGCCTTGGCCTCCCAAAGTGCTAGGATTACAGACATGAGCCACTGGCAGTTGACAGTTTTTAATTAAACCTGAATACCATAACACTAAAAAATTAGATCCTTTTTATTGTAGTTTTGTTAGATATTTTCTCATCACATCTTTTGAGTCAAGGCAGTATTACATAGTGGTAGGAAACCATGGATTGTAGATAGACTGGAGGTCAGATTTCCAGTGACAGAACTGGAATTCTGTCAATTGTCAGGATTGACAATTCATCTCTCAAAGTCTGTTTATCTAAATGTAAAATGAAGAAAATATGTTTTATAAAGGTTAGAAACATTGGTGCATAGATATTTTAATTTCATGTGTTAACAGTGTGATCCAATATCTGGGAAATGTCAAAATGAAATTTAAGAATACTTTAGAAAAAGTTCACACGTTTTAGATAGTTGTCTGATAGATGCATTGGAAACTGCTGATAGTGACTACCAGCTATTTATGGTTTTGTAGAAATGAAGTCTTTAATTTCCTTGTAATAATTACTGTTTCAATAAAACTTGATTTTTACCCAGAGGGTATCTCTGCTCTGAATTGTAAAGAAAATTTTAGGCCGAGTGCATGACTCACGCCTGTAATGCTAGCACTTTGGGAGGCCGAGGCTGGCGAATCACGAGGTCAGGAGATCAAGACCATCCTGGCTAACATGGTGAAACCCCATCTCTACTAAAAATCCAAAAAACATTAGCCGAGCGTGGTGGCGGGCGCCTGTAGTCCCAGCTACTCTGGAGGCTGAGGCAGGAGAATGACGTGAACCCAGAAGGCGGAGGTTGCAGTGAACTGAGATCATGCCACTGCACTCCAGCCTGGGCGACAGAGCGAGACTCTGTCTCAAAAAAAAGAAAATTTTATAACAGCCTTGTGAGAGTGATGGGTAGATTGATTTTGTTAGATGAGAGGTATTTGGCATACTGCTTAAGAGGTCTTTTTTTCTGGCCTCAGACTTTGCTTTGAATTTTGGCTCAGTTCTACCTCTTGCTTTGCTTAGCAGTAGATTGCATTTCCTAGTCTGTGAAATGGGGCTGACAAGTGTCTTCTCATACAGATGTGAAATAATATAAAGCTACAGTTCATAGCATAGTGTCTAGCATACAGTAAATAAACATTTCTTAAATGTTAGGTATTAGTGTAATTTACATGTTGTGATTTTTTTTTTTAATAAACCGTTTTTTTCCCTCCCCTAGGCTATGGTGAACTAAACGGTAATGCTGGAGAAAGAGAAATCTCTTTAAAGAACCTGAGTTCTGATGAAGCCACCAACCCTATTTCCAGGGTCCTCAATGGCAACCAGCAAATTGTAGACACTAGCCTGAAGCAGACTGTAAAGGCCAACACCTTTGGGAAAGCAGGAATTAAAACCAAGAATTACATTCAGAAAAACAGTATGGACAAAAAGAATGGAAAGTCTTATGAAAATAAATCTGGAGAGAACCAGTCTGTAGATAAGTCTGATACTATACCAATTCCAAATGGTGTGGTAACAAATAATTCTGGCTATATTACTAATGGTTATATGGGTAAAGGAGCAGATAATGATGGTAGTGGATCTGAGAGTGGATATACAACTCCTAAAAAAAGGAAAGCTAGGCGCAATAGTGCTAAGGGTTGTGAAAACCTTAATATAGTACAGGACAAAATAATGCAACAAGAGACCACTGTCCCAACCTTAAAACAGGGACTTGAAACTTTCAAGCCTGACTATAGTGAACAAAAGGGAAATCGAGTAGATGGTTCGAAGCCCATTTGGAAGTATGAAACTGGGCCTGGAGGAACAAGTCGAGGAAAACCTGCTGTGGGTGATATGCTTCGGAAAAGCTCAGATAGTAAACCTGGTGTGAGCAGCAAAAAGTTTGATGATCGGCCCAAAGGAAAGCATGCTTCAGCTGTTGCCTCCAAAGAGGACTCATGGACCCTATTTAAACCACCCCCAGTTTTTCCAGTGGACAATAGCAGTGCTAAAATAGTTCCTAAAATAAGTTATGCAAGCAAAGTTAAGGAAAACCTCAACAAAACTATACAAAACTCTTCTGTGTCACCAACTTCATCTTCATCATCATCATCATCTACTGGGGAAACTCAGACCCAATCATCAAGTCGCTTGTCCCAGGTCCCTATGTCAGCGCTGAAATCTGTTACTTCTGCCAACTTTTCTAATGGGCCTGTTTTAGCAGGAACTGATGCAAATGTTTATCCTCCAGGGGGTCAGCCACTGCTAACTACTGCTGCTAATACTCTAACACCCGTCTCTTCTGGGACAGATTCAGTTCTCCAGGACATGAGTCTAACTTCAGCAGCTGTTGAACAAATTAAGACTAGCCTTTTTATCTATCCTTCAAATATGCAAACTATGCTGTTGAGCACAGCACAAGTGGATCTGCCCTCTCAGACAGATCAGCAAAACCTGGGGGATATCTTCCAGAATCAGTGGGGTTTATCATTTATAAATGAGCCCAGTGCTGGCCCTGAGACTGTTATTGGGAAGTCATCAGAGCATAAAGTGATGGAGGTGACATTTCAAGGAGAATATCCTGCCACTTTGGTTTCACAGGGTGCTGAAATAATTCCCTCAGGAACTGAGCATCCTGTGTTTCCCAAGGCTTATGAGCTGGAGAAACGGACTAGTCCTCAAGTTCTGGGTAGCATTCTAAAATCTGGGACTACTAGTGAGAGTGGAGCCTTATCCTTGGAACCCAGTCATATAGGTGACCTGCAGAAAGCAGACACCAGTAGTCAAGGTGCTTTAGTGTTTCTCTCAAAGGACTACGAGATAGAAAATCAAAATCCTCTGGCCTCTCCTACGAACACTTTGTTAGGCTCTGCCAAAGAACAGAGATACCAGAGAGGCCTAGAAAGGAATGATAGCTGGGGTTCATTTGACCTGAGGGCTGCTATTGTATATCACACTAAAGGTAACTCATTTGTTTCCTATGCAAAGATTTTTATTGGCCAATTTAGTATATTTATATTAAGAATTTTAAGAGAATTAGTTGTTCATATTAAGAGTATTTTAAGAGAATGACAATGTGGATAAGCAACTAACATCAAACTGATTCAGGGTCTTTGGAACTAGTATGATTAAAACTTAGAAGAAATGTTCACTTTTCCAACTTAAAATGGTTTTTAAAAATACAAACATAATTGATCTACCTGGTTCAAAGAAGTGAGGAGAACTTGCTTAAAGGTGTTGATGTTATATTTTCTTTTGACCGAGTGCTTTAAAAAAAATTTTATTGAACATATGTTCTCTTTCCTTTGCTTTTTTGTTTCTCCTTTGCTTTTTGTTTGTTTTTTCTTTGAGAGGGAGTCTCACTCTGTTGCCAGGCTGGAGTGCAGTGGTGTAATCCCGGCTCACTGCAACCTCCACCTCCCAGGTTCAAGCGATTCTCCTTCCTCAGCCTCCTGAGTCGCTGAGATTACAGGCACGTGCCACCACGCCCGGCTAGTTTTTGTATTTTTAGTAGAGATGGGGTTTCACCGTGTTGGCAGGATGGTCTCAATCTCTTGACCTTGTGATCCACCTGCCTTGGCCTCCCAAAGTGCTGGGATTACAGGTGTGAGCCACCGCGCCCAGCTTCTTGTTTGTTTTTGAGACGGAGTCTTTCTTGCCCAGGCTGGAGTGCAGTGGTGGGATCTTGGCTCACCGCAGCCTCTGCCTCCTGGGTTCAAGTGATTTTCCTGCCTCAGCCTCCCGAGTAGCTGGGATTACAGCCATGTGCCACCATGCCCAGCTTATTTTTGTATTTTTAGGAGAGACTGGTTTCACCATGGTGGCCAGGCTGGTCTCAAACTCCTGACCTGGTGATCTGCCTCCCTCTGCTTCCCAAAGTGCTGGGATTACAGGTGTGAGCCACTGCGCCCACCTTCTCCTTTGCTTTTTGTATCATATGCTTCTTTATTAGTGAGCTCATTTAGTAGTTCTAATTTGCTTAAAATGAGTAGAAGCACTATTTTTGAAGAGGAGTCTGATAAGTCTTAAAAGGAGTAATGGATGCCAATTTGTAACTAGAAAATAAGTTAGACAAATTACAATGTCAAGCATGATAAGCATAGTCAAGACCAGGCTCTTGGGAGTCTCCTTTTTATAGCCCCAAAGCCCAAGTTTAAAGGGAACGAGATATCTTTCAAGTTTCACGCTAGTAACTCTCTTTCTTTTCTTTTTTTTTTTTTTTGAGATGGAGTCTCGCTCTTGTCGCCCAGGCTGGAGTTCGGTGGCGTGATCTTGACTCACTGCAACCTCTGCCTCCCGGGTTCAAGCGATTCTCCTTCCTCAGCCTCGCACATAGCTGGGATTACAGGCGCCCACCATCACGCCTGGCTAATTTTTGTATTTTTAGTACACACGGGGTTTCCCCATGTTGGCCAGGCTGGTCTCAAACTCCTGACCTCAGGTGATCCACCCACCTGGGTCTCCCAAAGTGCTGGGATTACAGGTGTGAGCCACTGTGCCGGGCCTCATGTTAATAACTTTCTTAGAATGTGATATGTTTGTGTCTTAAAGAAAATTTTGCTGTATGGCATAACTCTAATCTAAATCTTTAGAGCAAATAATGAGGTTTAACGAATGATGTTTATATCCTTTTGCTTTTGAGAATAGTGGGTTTCAGTATTCCCGTACTTTGCTATGTCTTCCTCCCTTCTCTAACAGAAATGCATACTCCATGCATGCATGTACACACTTAGTACATAGTGTATATTCCCATTTTAATAGTGGTTCATTTAGGCAGTGACTTGCAGGGAAGGGGGACCATACCAGATTGTGGGAATTAGGTCATTACCATATTCTCTCTGGAAGAAATATTGCCTGAGAGATGAATAACAAAGCAATTTATGTGACTTTTAAGCATATTTCCTAGTCTGCATACCTTTCCTTATCTGCAAGCTGGAAGACTTGAGTATAATAAATAGATGTCCTTTTAATATTATTTTACTTCCTTAAAAATGGAAGTAGTAGAATTTGCTTAATGGAAGTTTTAAGAGTAGGAATTCTCAAAGATAACATTTACCTGATTTCACTTGTTCTCCAGCTCTGCTCTTTGGAGGTAAATATAGGAGTTGGTTGTTTTAGGAATATTAGGACAAAAAGAAATGCTTCCTTTTTTAAGACATGTATTGTACATTAGTTAGCCTCTGCCGGGGGAGTTGGGTTTTTTGGTATTGCTTTCTGTGCCGTCTGCCCTCTAGAGACTGTCACTAGAAAATGTTTACCCAAGTATTTTGCACTGGTGATCATTGTGTGAGCCTGAGAGGATATCTGGTTGTGTTATGTTCTCTTACCATCTCCAAAAAAATTGTAGGAGGCCCAGTGTGCTGGCATGCCTGTAATCCTGGCACTTTGGGAGGCTGAAGTGGGAGGATCACTTGAGCTCAGGAGTTTGAGGCCAGCCTGGGCAACAATGTGTAGTCCCAGCTACTTGGGAGGCTTAGGAGGAAGGATCACTTGTGCCTGGGAGATCCAGGTCTGCAGTGAGCTATGATTGCACCACTGCACTCGAGCCTGGGCAGCAGAGTGAGACCCTGTCTTTCAAAACAAAACAACAAAACGTGGGATATGCTCCCTTAGGTGACTGGTTAATAGTTTTATGTACAATTTCTATTATGTGGAATTGCAGGCCATTTTTAAATGGGAATGTTAACTTGCATTATTCTTTATACATTTTCCCTATCCATGGGCTAACTGAATATGAAATCAGTGGTATTTAGATAAGCTGAATACCCCTATATGGGTGCAGTTATATTTAGTTTTGCTGGTGTTAATGAAAAAATTTGCTTTAGATAAAGTGTGTCATCTTGAGTTTTGTATTTGGACATGATTGGAAATTAATCAGATTGGCATCAAAATTTTTACTCCTCTAGAACAATAAATAATATTCAGTTCAATTAGGTTCCAGAGTAGCAAGTTCTTTGAATTCCTGCCAAATGTTGATTAGTCCATGAGTGGTCCATTGGCCCACTCATTTTTCTTTACTTGAATTAGATTTGAAGATCTTTTATAAGCGAAGGCTTTTTTTTTTTTTTAAGTTAAACTCTAGAAGAAGTCATAATCAGTTGGGCTACTGGAATATCCTTTAAGAACATCTGTATTATTTTCTTTGTGCTTTAGTGTAGTCTTCAAATGTTCAGTAGTAATCTCTAAGTGAGTTGAAGTTGGGCTTAGAATTGGAAGTTTTCTGCATTTCTCCTAACTTCAAAAATAAGCTGTTCAGCAACTTAATTTGGAAATAGTGGGTAAGAGAGTACATTATGTCACTTCTTTGGGAATGGTGTGCTATTTATTTATATAAAGGAAGGTATTTTTATTTTATTTTGTTGTTGTTGTTGTTGTTTGTTTGTTTTGAGACGGGGTCTTAGTCTGTTGCCCAGTCTGGAGTGCAGTGTTGCAATCTTGGCTCACTGCAACCTCTGCTGCCTAGGTTCAAGTGATTCTCCTGCCTCAGCCTCCTGAGTAGCTGGGATTACAGGTGCACACCACCATGCCTGGCTAATTTTGTATTTTTAGTAGAGATGGGGTTTTACCATGTTGGTCAGGCTGGTCTCCTGACCTCGTGGATCCACCTGCCTTGGCCTCCCAAAGTGCTGGGATTACAGGTGTGAGCCACTGCACCCAACAAAGAAAGGTGTTTATTTGACTCAAGGTTTTGGCAGCTGGGAAGTCCAAGTGCATGGTGGCGGCTTCTGGCAAGGGCTTTTTTTTTTTTTTTTTTTTTTTTTTTTTTTTTGAGACGGAGTCTTGCTCTGTCGCCCAGGCTGGAGTACAGTGGCCCACTCTCGGCTCACTGCAAGCTACGCCTCCCGGGTTCTCGCCATTCTCCTGCCTCAGCCTCCCGAGTAGCTGGGACTACAGGTGCCCACCACCACGCCCAGCTAATTTTTTGTATTTTTAGTAGAGACGGGGTTTCACCGTGGTCTCGATCTCCTGACCTTGTGATCCGCCCGCCTCGGCCTCCCAAAGTGCTGGGATTACAAGCGTGAGCCACCGCGCCCGGCTAGGACTTTTTTTTTTTTAATACAGAAACTTTTTAGATTAAGTGTAAGTGTAATACGGATTTGTAAAAATGTGAGTGTTAGTACAGTTGAGGGTATGAAGTAAAGATACAATAGAGCATAAAAGGGATTTGTGTGGATTCTGATTCTTGGGATTTTCCTTTTAGCCTTTTTTTTTTTTTTAATTAAAGAGACAGGATCTCATTGTCACCCAGGCTGGAGTGCAGTGGCACTATCATAGCTCACTGTAGCCTTGAACTCCTGGGCTCAGGTGATCCTCCTGCCTCAGCCTCCTGAATGGCTGGGACAGCAGGTGTGTACCGCAATGCCTCGCTAATTTTTTTATTTTTATTTTTTGAGATGAAGTCTCGCACTGTTGCCCTGGCTGGAGTGCAGTGGCGTGATCTCAGCTCACTGCACCCTCTGCCTCACAGGTTCAAGAGATTTCTCCTGCCTCAGCCTCCCTAGTAGCTGAAATTACAGGCATGAGCCACTGTGCCCAGCCGCCCAGCTAAGTTTTGTGTGTGTATATATGTATATAGTGATGGTGTCTCTGTATTTTATCTAGGCTGGTCTTGAACTCTTGGCCACAAGGGATCCTCCTGCCTCAGCCTCCCAAAGTGCTAGAATTATAGGTGTGGGCCACCATGCCTGTCCTAACTTTTTTTTTTTTTTTAGACGGAGCCTCACTCTGTCACCCAGGATGGAGTGCAATGGTGCGATTTTGGCTCGCTGCAACCTCTGCCTCCTGGGTTCAAGTGATTCTGCCTCAGCCTCCCAAGTAATGCGGATTACAGGCATGTACCACCATGCCTGGCTAATTTTTTGTATTTTTAGTAGAGATGGGGTTTCGCCATGTTGGCCAGACTGGTCTTGAACTCTTGACTTCAAATGATCCGTCTACCTTCACCTCTGAAAGTGCTGGGAT